CCCCACCCCCGCGTGCCGGCCTCCCCCCGGCTGCTGGGGTTGTCTGTCAGTGAGTGTGCGGCTGCCGAGCAGGGGGCTCCCAATACATATCTAAACGGGAAGGCATGTGCGATTAATGGAATTCTGTGGCGCGTATCACCCCCCTCACTACCCCCTACCACCACCCCCTCACTCCTCGCCCCGCCGCCGCTGCCCCGTGCTAGCTGCCTACCCTGTTACCGCCCCCCCCCTCTCTCTCTGCGTCTCCCAATACGCCCCCAAAATGTGAAATATTTCAATCGTGGGAATGGAACGCGGTGATATGGCTGCGGGGAGGCGGTGGAGGGCGACCGTGCGGCCGTGCGGCTGTGAGCTACCCCCCCCCCCATCTCTCTCATCCCCCTCTTACCCCTCACGCCGAATCTCCGCGCTCTTCCGACATTTTAGCTCAAACGCCACGCCATCTATCGTCTTTGCCTTTGAAGATTGTTGCGACAAGTTTTTCTCCAATATAAATGAAGTATGTACCACTTTCAAACCGCGCACTTGCCACATTCAACGTAAAATATAGTTTACGTCGATTGATTTGTCAATAGATACCATGAGAAAAATGTTTCATCACCACGCACCCAAATTTGGTCTGTTGTAATGTACTTACGAAAATGTTGGTCAGTCTGCCCCTGAGTCGCAACTAGAAGACGTTCTGATGTGTACCCGGATCTACCAGGTGGCTGATGAGCTCCGCTCACTTTTGAAGGTCTAATGCACCGCACACAGTACTCAGTGGTCTAAAAGAAAAGAAAATGTTTATTATATTGTTGACATTTCACGGTTGGAATGGCCTCCGTATTCGTCTAGAGATTAGAGCTATCTGCTATCTGTCGACTTCTTGTGATTCCATATACGATCAGTGGTGCCTGAAAGGTCACGAGGCAAGGAGCATCTGTATGGCTGCGGAGGCGGGGGGAAATCCCTCGCCTCTTCCTCCTACGCCGTCGCGTCCTGTCTCTGACCCCTCTGACCTCTGCGGAACCAGGGACGTGGTGGAAAAGGGGGGGGGGGCAAGCACTCTCACCTCTCGCGACGACCGTGAGGTCATACTTCCTTTATAACATTCGCTGAGGGGAAAGAAATATGCCTGGGAGCGGCGAGGAGTCGAACCATAAACCTTAGCGGGCCGGCCATTCGTCTTGGCGCTGACTTATAGGCCGGATGGCGCTGGCTGAGCGAGCCCCCGCGGCCCCGCGCTCAGCCGCCGCGCGCCCGCGCGACCAGGACAGCAGTTTGTTGTTTGTTTTATTATTATTATTTTCAGTTTGCTCTGTCCGAGGAGGACGTGGGGGAAATGTTTCACCCGGCAAGTCGAGTTAGTAGTTGACGTACTGGCTTGCCGTGCGGGGGGAGGATGTGACCCACATAGCAGCTGATGCACACAAGGAACTCTCACCCCCTCCCCCTGCCTCTCTCCGCCTCGCACCTCTCTCTCTCACACACACTCCCCCATCCCCCCTCTCACCGCCCTTCAACAATGCGTACCCACTGAGTCAAGATGGGCCAGCGAAGGAGTACGTACCCCTCCTTAAGCACACATGGTCAGAAATGAAATATGGCGACCAAGTTGTGTGTATGTGTGCGTTTGTGTGTGTGAACTGGTCTTTTGGTCGCAGTGCTTTGTGGTTAATCAGATGGTCCAGGGATCCGAGAGAGGATGAGGCAGCGAGGCGACTTGTCGGCACTGTACTCCCCTGAGGACCGACGCAAGGGGGCGCAAGGGGGGTGGCGAACAAGGAGAGAGGAGGGGGGGGGAGGGGGTGCGAGGCGCTGGGGCACATGTGCACAGAACTGATTGATACGCGATAAGGGCGGCAGACCACTAATCCCCCAAGGAAGGCTCGGCGCCGAGGGGAGGGGCGGGTAACGCGTGAGATGAAACGACGGCCGAGCGAACGTGTCGTTGTGTGATCGATTAACTACGGGGCGACGCTAACGTGACGCATGAGCGAGGGCGGCTCTAT